AAAGTCAAAGTTGTGGCAAGAGGATCAAGAAGAGAAATTAAACAATATCTTCTTTCTTTTTTTTGTTTCCGAGATAGGGTACACTAGAAGGAATTCTTATTTGCGCCCTCGATTGATGATGTAAGTTAATATTCGTCATGTGATTTACTAATGATATCATTAGAGTTTATGGGCTGATATGATCAAGCATATGAATTAAATGAGCTGTATAATTTAATAACTGGACATGAGCTTAGGTTCAGCTTTGATCGGAGAATCACCGAGCTTCATAATAGATAAAATATTGTGTGGCTGCACGCATTAAGTGCGCATTTATATCCCATAGCATTAGTACATATGCTTAAATCCAAATTCAGTGACTATGATTGCTTCTGACCATTAGTTAATCCCTTTGTGATTTATATATTATTGGAAGATGATCTGATATATAGTTTAGACTGTTTAGTATATGTATTAGTTCTTTTGGCAAGTGTATGATCATGAAATATTTGATGTTGATAATTATCTGAATTTATTCTTTAGGAATTTTAGAAGAACAGGAGATTCATCGTGAATGGACATTGGATATTCAATTGGTATTCTCTAAGTGGTAAATTTATGCATTATGCACTGTATGTTTTTCAATAAGAACCATATAGTGAATCCATCATCTAAGTCTATAACTTGATTACCATATAGTGAATTTAACAAACTTCAAAGGCCAATATCCTTCAAACACTAATCAATAAGAACCCCCAAACTAAAAATTATAGGAATATGCCTAAAATACTTATTAAATTTGCTTTCCATTTGAAAAGTTATATCTCCAAAATTTTCATCCATACGATATTTATTAAATTTTTTTGAATATTTAAAATTTGTAAAGCAGCTAAAGTAATGGTTATATAATAACAACCAGATAATAACATTATAGCATCATAAAATTTGTAACATCTTTTTTAAATTACTTATAATTATCCATTCATCTTTAGTTATTTCATAGGCGCTACCAGAGCTAGAACTAGAAGAATAATAAGTAATAAAACCGTTTATAATTTTTTTTTATATTCTATTGCTACACTTAACATTACATAGGTAGAATTCCACCTATTGTCAACATCTTTTGGAATTAGTCTGGCTTTACATTTTTTCTTTTACAGAATTATTTTTATCTTTTAATTTTTTTGTTCAGAAACATTATGCATATAAGTTACCGTCCTAACCTTTTCTATTATAGATTTAATTTCAGTAAATGTATTTTGAACAATTAAATTTAAAATATGACATATACATCTAATATGAAAAAGATCACCATGACATGACAATAACAAAGATGTTTTGATCAAATCAACAGCTATATTATTATTACTTGTATTATCTAGTGAAAGAGAAAATATTCTTTCTGAAATTTCTAGTTTCATAAGTTCAATTATTAAATTTGTAACATTAATACCAGTATGTGACTCTTTAATTGTAATAAAGGAAATAACTCTTTTAAACATTTGCTAATTTTTATCAATCCAGTGTGCTATGATACATAAATAACATGTTTGTGCTCTAGATGTCCAAATATTAGAAGTTAAAGAAAATTTATAGTTTAAACTTTAAAAATAAGAAATTATTTTCCCTTGTTCATCCTGATAATATTTTAAAATATCACGTTGACAAGTTTGACGAGAATTTTTTTTTAAATGCGGGGTAAAAACCATCTCTAAATAAATCTTTAAATTTATCATCTTTTACTAATTTAAAAGGAAGATTTTTAAGAATGATAAACCTGATAACGTATTTTCTAGCACGGGCTACTGAAAACACCCTAGAGGGAGGGGGGGTGGTTATGCTAATCTAATCCGATATTAATGTTAATTAAAAACTAATTAACAATATTCTAGCAAATATGATATACAATAAAATATATGAGCAATGATATGCAATATAAGCAAAGGCGATATAAACATGCAACAATGACGATATGAAAATATACAAGAATAAATGTGTCAAAGCCAAACTCAAACACAAAAAAATGATCACGGAGTTCGGTCCTTCCGACCTACGTCTCCGCTCCTCACTCTCGGGGAGAATCCACTACACAACTGGGTTTTTTACGCTTACCCGAAAAACGTTTACACCACACAATATCGGTTTTTAATGCTCACCGATCAACGTTCATAATTACTCACAATGCAGCTACACAAATACCACCTCAAGTCTTGGCCTCTCAAGTGTCTCCCTCAAGTGTTCAGAATTACAACCTACCTCTAGGCATTACCACCGACGCCACTCCTCTTGGGACCGACCACGTCTCTCACCTCTACCCTCCTCTTGGTATACTTGTGTAATACAATGTGAATCCTCACAATTAGGCTCAATATAACAAATGTTTGTTCTCTACTATGGATGAGAACACAATAAAAGCTCACACTCTAAGTCACACTCCCCACAACCCAAATTATACAATATATGCAAATAGAATAAGCTCAATAGGAAGTGTGTGAACAATGAGTATAATAAAAAAAAATCTAAACTCAAATAAATTCTAGCTTATGGAAAAGAAAATCTAACATATAAATAGCTAGATATGAGTTTAGAAAAACTTCTGTATGATGACAAGAGAGAGTGGGAGATGAGTTGAATGCCCAAACACAAATGATGATCTCCTCAAGCTCTTGTGAAAATTCCTTCACAAAACAAACACTAAAATAAACTTTAAAACCCTTGAACTCTTTTGTAAACTTGTATAAATAATTTTCTTGGTTAGTTTTAGGTCTGAGATATGAGGGGTATTTATAGAGACCCCAAAACATAAGAAAAACAAAGCAAAAAGACAAAAAACCCAAAACATGATAAAGCTGGAAAAACTAGCCATTGGAGCTGTCGGTCGACTGATACTGTTCATCAGTCGACTGATGAGCTGACGGTTAGAGTCAGCTCAACACCTCATCGGTCAACTGATGACATCGTCAGTCGATTGATAGCTTATCAGTCGTAAAAACAAAAACTTTTGTAATTTCAGACGAGTTTATCAGTCGACTGATAACATGTTATCAGGTTGTTTAAACAGTAAATCTGATTTTTAAAGTGCTTTTAAAAATAGCAAATAAATTTTAAAAAATATAAAACTTTGATAATTATCAACATGATAATAAACATGTTACAAAAAGTGTTTTTGGAATTGCACCTCCCAAATGAGAAATCTCTTTATTTTACAAAAAGATCCAAAACATGAAAACTAAACAAGATATGTTTTTGACAAAATGTTTTAAACAAACTTTTAAAACTTTGTAAAGTAATTCTATAGACTTGATAAAAGATATAAACTATAGTTCTTAAGTCTATAAACCAAAAACATAATATTTTTTAAAATACAATAGAATATGAAACATATGAATATGTATATGAATGTATATTTGTTTCATATCTATATAACTAAACTAAAATAACTTATCCACATGAAAACAAACATACATGTATATAAACATAAGTTTATTTGTTTGTACAAACTTTGTTTGTGGATAAAACCCAAAACGGATAAACTCATAAAATGTGTGTGTATATGATATTAAGCTTTAAAGTATCTACACACAAGTATAAAACCTAAACTAATTATACCCAAGAAATTGACCTTCAATAAGCTCTTCTTAGTAAACTTTGTGGATGAAGCTTGATCTTGAATTGACTTGAATTGCATTGGCTTTATACCGGTATTCCTTCCATCCTCCAAATGATATGATCGTGAAAGTTCTAGTCCATCCATCCTCCAACTCATTGTTTGTCTAGAATAAATATAAAAACACAAACACTAGAAAAACAATATTAGTTATAAATTATTTATTAAAATATCATCAAAACAAGAAGGCTAACAACTGTGTCATAATTCCAACTACCGAGACTACCAGAAGATGAGGATTGAGAGATCATAGACTGTCGGATATCACCTTGAAGCGTCTGGCCTTTGTTGTGTTTATCTAAATGGCGTTTGAGGTAGTTGGTACCACTCTTATGATGAGCTTGGAAAATCTTGCCGCACAATGCACACTTAGCATTTTGGATGAGTATCCTACCATGTTCATCCTTGGTGACGTCTATCTTCTCAAAAAAATTCCGCACATCGGATCTCGGTCTTTTAGGAGCTCTTGATGTAGAATCATCACTATCGGATCCGGGATTAACATCGCTAGGATCGGTAAGAGTAGCTGTAGTAGGAGAGATCATTTTAAAATCGGGAGTTAGGTTTTGCTCTTCATAATCAGATCCGGAAGCCATTTGATTGAAGAATTAGAGAGCTAAAACGATTATCAGAGAGTATTAGAGAGAAGTAGATGAGTTTTGATATGAGAAAAAAACAAATAAAAACCCTCATCTATTTATAGAGGCAACCCTCTAGACAAATAACCAACATACCCTCATTTTTGACCGTTTTTTTGGGACAAAATGGACAAAACAGCTAAAATAGCCGTTATGCC